GACAGACACACACTGACACACGGGACGTTCCCTCTTGAACATCAGGAAACACTTTTTCACTGTGCGGGTGACCGAGCGTTGGCACGGGTTGCCGGGGGAGGTGGTGGAGTCTCCATCCTTGGACATAGTCAGAAGCCATCCAAACGTGGTCCTGGGCAACCAGCTCAGGGGGTTGGACAAGGTGACCTCCAGAGGTACTCTTCCACCTCAGCCACTGTGATTCTGTACAGAGTTTCTTTAGGGTAAATCCTTTCCTAGCAGGCTGTGGTGCTGTAGGCAGGGTCCTTCGTGGCGGTGATGGCCTGGGGCATGGGGTGTAGGCCGGCATGCAGGAGCAGTCTCCCCTCGCCTTTCCCGTTCACTGCGCAGACCCCCCGTTGCAGGGAGCATGGCTGAACACAGCCCGAGTGGGCACCTGGCTGCCACGACTGAGAGCGCCCCGGTAGTGGTGGGAGCTCTTCCTCTGGGCAGCCGGCACTTGCATCAGCCGTAATGACGGAAGAAAAGTAGAAGAGGAGTTGTGGGAAAAACAGCCCCTGGAAATGTGCGTTTGGGCAATGGCGGTTGTGCTTTCTGCTGTCCCTGTCAGAGTTACGGAAGAGAGGAGTGGGTGCGTGGTGACCTTGCTGTGTGGGACAGAGAGTGGAGCAGAGGAAGGCAAAGCTGCTGCAGAAGCGGCGTGCTGTCCTTCGCGGGCTCTGGCAGCCGGAGGGGAGGTGCAGGAGTGTGGTCCAGGCGGCCACGCAGTCGCAGGCGGGCGAGTGAGGGAAAGGCTGAAGCAGGGTATTTGCTAGAGCAATGGATGTGTCTTGACCGGGGCCAGGACCCCGGTGGCTCCCCAGGGGTGTGATGTGTCTGTCGGTCACTACTCAGACTGGTTGTCTCTTCAGGGGCTTGCAGGCAGGATTGAGCGAGTTGGTTACTATCTGAGCATTTGGAAGCTAAACTCCTGCAGGGATAGGATGTGGTGAGTGAAGAAATGGATCCTGGAAGATTTTGCGTGCCCTGTCCCAAAAAGGATGGCTCTTGGGCTGTGTGCTCCAGTTTGCCTTGAAGAGAAGGCATGTGCAGAGAATGTCTGAGGGTGTTGGGTATGGTGGGAATAAACGGTGGCAGCCGTGTAAAACATTCCTACTTGCACCAGCTGGTTGGGGATCTGTCCTGCAGCACTGAGTCCTAGCACTGTGCATTGCTGCTTGGCAAAATTCTCTCAGTCTTCTGGTATGGATGTGGCTCATTCCCTGCAGCTCTGGGAACATGTTATCTGGGTGTGTGTCAGAGGTTTTCTGGTGCTGCCTTGGTCTTCACCCTCTGAACCTGCTGGGGCGGCTGCCTCCACGCTGCTTAGACTTCTACAAAGGACAGAGTGGCCGGTTGTTGTGACCCCACACAGCCTATCTGTGGTGGCCCTTGTAACGTAAAGGGGGTCATGGCTTTATGGTGATGTCAGCCCTGAGGGAAGCCTGGAGCCTCACCTCTGACAGTTGCACCGAGAAACGGCAGCAGGATAGCTCATGTTTAACTTTCTTTCTGTCCCCACCTTGGGTCATGTGTGAAGCTGCAGCATTCCTGGGGCGTGCAGTCAGCTCCAGTCTGAGTCAACTGCTGTTCTCAGTGTTGCTAACCTGAGCGTTCGCATACTGTGAGTCAGGTTAAAAAACCATGACTCTAAAATAGTACGTTGTGGGTTCTGCCCGTGTGTCCTCTGGTATAAAAGCCTTTAGGGCTTACACGTTTAAAGTGTTTGGGCTTTTTTTTAAGCATGGGTAAAAGCTTACTTTCAAGAAACAGAATTTCATCACTTCAGAAAAAGACTGTAAGTTGAAAGATACAGATACATCTTTCTCATCAGTACAAAAGTCTTAGGACCCATGGCAGAGGTCAGGCTTAACCTCCTTTTGCCATGTAATTAAGATTAGCATTGCATTTACTGTGTCCAGGGGCTGTGCTTTACATGGCCATGGGTCTGATGAGGTGGAACTCCATTCCTCAGCACGATACGCAGAAGCTTTGAACGAGTTAATAACTAGAGTTGCTTTGTATCGAGATGGAAATGACTAAGCATGCCACATTCCTGAAGTGTTACTTATTTTGATATAAAATCTGCTTGTTTGGTACTGCCCGTGTCCTTTAGGCATCAGCATGGCAGAGTTTTGGTCAGAAAAGCTTCAGGTTTGTTATGGAGCTGAATAGAGTGGGAGTAGCTGAGAACTCTGGAAGGGTCCTTTCTGCTGTGGTCGTTGTCCCGTCATCCCTCCAGGACTGAGCTGGCGGCTTCCTTAGACTTCAGAAGACCAGAAACTGTCTTTTATTTGGCTACCAGCACAGGAGGCTTGATGACAAGGAGGTCTCTTGGGTGGTTAGAACTGCACGGCTCTCATAAAAGGAGCAACAGATCACTTCAGAACTGCATGGGCTTGCCAAGTCAGTGATTCGCATGTTCTCATGCCTGGTGTGCAGCAGTATAAGGTAAGGTGGTGTGTTAGTGCCTTTGTTTAGCTAACCAGTTGCCGGTGTGAGCCTGGTAAGGGGGGGTTGTGGGGTACCGGCAGCACCTGCGATGCGTGGGCTTGACCTCAGCATAAAAGAGTATTTTATTCTTGAACGGCACTGGCAGCATTCTCTCCTTGAGCATGTGGTTTCAGGAAATGGAATTGTCTTGAGACTTTCCATGGAAAATGCTTAGCGTGTTCTCTTGCTTTCGGAATTGGAAAAAGAGTCAGGGCTTCCTATCATGTGATGTGACTGTGCCTCATTCTTCTGCTTGGGATAAAGATATGGAAGCTGTCTTCAAACAGCGTGGATCAGAAAGGCTGTCTTTTGGGAGGAATGGGTGATACTTTGTCTAGAAATTATTTAATTTCTATTCACCCAAAACTAGTGCTTTCAATGAAATAATTCGTTATTCTGGACTACACCGAACTGCTGTAAGTACTAATGCAGTAGAGGTGATAAATTTGTCCTCTGTGGAAATACTGGGAAGCATCCTAGAGCCACTGAAGGAGTTTGGAAGGAGAGGTCAGGAGAGCAGCAGTCACGTTAAGTCTGGTTAGTTTGTGAAAGGAGTGATGCGTGTGGTCCCCAAGATGCAGGTGCTGACTGCCTGACTCGGGTGGCCTCTACCAGTTTTGTGTCCCTAAGCTGTGTTTTGGCCTATCTTGGACTGTGTCTGAGGGTTACTTAGCTTTGGATCAGACCACCCCAGTCTGCTCTTTCTTCACCAAAGATCAGTCTCTACCCGTGCCCTGGCTCGTGTGATGAGCTTAGATTAAATGCCTAGTTCTTGATAGCAGCCACCTGTCCTGCAAGCCTGGACAGGTGAAGGGTGGCATTCTTCTCCTCGGTTGGTTATTTTGGAAGATAGAGTTCAGGGCTGTGGCTGGTGGAGCAGCACTGAGCAGGAGAGAACGTCGGGTGCTTTAAGCTTGTGCTCTGCTGTCTGTGTCTGAGATGAGCCTGGAGCCATGTATTTCTAGTTGTATCTGGTAGTTCAAAGATCAATGACATGCCTGGGAAAGACCTTCTCTGTTGCACTCAAGACTGAATGGCTTCTTAGGTAAGTGAAGCTTATTGCTTCACCTTCTAAGTAATACTGCTTCTCCAGCTGGTGCATGGAGCTTCACTGGCTGGATGAGTAATATTACTTGGTAGGTTTATGCTGCAGGAGGAGAAATGAACTCCGTGTGCATCCTGTTTGTGCATACGGGTCTGTGTAGCTCTGGATGCTGCCGTCAGGTGATTGCTTGAGCGCTGGGTGAACTGCTTGAGCTCTGGGGATTTGTCAGGGAGCCGAAGCAGAGGCAGCACTGCGGAGATAGTCTCACCGGAACCTGTGTGCTGGCTGGGGCTGTGCTGCTCCACCGTGCTTCTCAGTTGCTGGTTGGGCCTCGTCAGTTTTGTCTGCCCTTTGGCCTCTGTCGGATGCCTTTTAAAACATCCCCTGGCTGCAAGCCACAGGCTGGGCACCACTGCCCTTCAGTCTCTCTGGTGGCAAATTTAGGTCAGGTGTTGACAAGAAGAACATCAGACAGGTTTTTACTTGTGTTGTGCAGCAGGAGAGTACTTCTGGAATGAGGACTGCAGTTGGGCTCTTCTCCAGTCCTCACAACTGTCCTGGTCCTCCTGTGTGAAGCGGCAGATGTCCTGCTGCTGCTGACCCTCTGGAGAAGTAGATGTGGCTCTCTTTCTGCAGAGCTGGCGTGCTATCTTGTACCTTGCTGTGTTTCTGCTGTGTAGGGAGCTCTGGTGGAGACACCGTGCTGCAGCGGGTTGGCGATGTGCTGCCTGAGGTGCTCTGAGCAGCACAGAGCATCAGGAGAAAGGGAGCACTCCCGCCTGTCCTGCGTCGGTGCGAGGAAGGAACCTGGGGCTGTCTGAGTGCTCTGCTGCAGACGGGCTCTGCTGCTGCGTTCCTCTGCCATTAAATAATTTCCTTGAGTTTGGACCCTTGGGATCCCTGGCTGTGTCTTGTTCCTGTTGTGGTGTTTTGTTTGTTTCTTAAGCCAGCGAGACCTCTACTTCCTTTTGTTATCCCTCCCAGATGTGTGCTACAGCAACAAGCTTTGTGGGGAGCGCACTCTGGAAGCCGGTCTTGAACATGTGATTTGGGGAGGAATGTTCTTCAGCAATTGCCAGAGAGCAGCTGAGAGTTCCTGGTGGTGTGCGTGGCTGGAGTGCAACTGATGGTTCTTTTCTTCTTTTTGTCCGCAGGTCGTGCTGGCAGGCAGTCCTTGCAGAGCTGACACCCAGGGGCTCTTGGACACTGCTAGGTGCTTTGGAGTCTTGTGCCAACTTGATGTGTGCAGGACACGGGTGGACCTGGACACGGCTGGAGATGGGGTGTTTTTAAGCACATTGGCACTTGCCATGCACCCAACAGGGGCAGTGGAGAGTAGCTTCTCCCGCTCTGCTGTGCAGACCCTCTCCCGGAGCCACTGCCGCAACATCAAACAGAAGATCTCCCAGTGGGAGGGGAGGACACGAGGGTGCTCCAGCAAAGAGAAACAGCAGCTGAAGGACTTTGGAGTAAAGTATGATCCCAGCTGCGATGCTTTACCCAAGGTGAAGCCAGAACATGCAGAGAAGGGCAGAAAGACTGGGTCCAAAGATCCAAAGAGCCTTGGTTTGGACTTCAGGGAAGATGCACGGAGCTGCTTGCAGACTGATGACTGTGGTGTCTTCAAGCCCTGTGCATGCAGCCTAGCATCCCAAGCCAAGCAGAAAGGAGTCTGGCAAGCAGACTTCCTTGACCCAGGAGTGACACTGCCCCCAGGGAACTTCTATACCTCACAAGATCTGTGGAGGAGAGTAGATCCCCTTCTGCCTGGCAAAGCCCCACCATTTCCCTTGGACCTTCAGAGAAAGCAAGGGAGGTGTGGCTCCACGGAACAGGAACTTAAAATCAAAGGAGTGGACTCTCTCTGCAGGGCAGAGAGGAGCTTGAAAAGCATTTACTCTGAGGCTGAGGGGCAAGAGGAGGAGTCAGCTGCTGTCCCACCACCCAAGCCCCGCAGGACTTTCCGCTATCTTGCAGAAAAGGGTGCTAGTAGCTGTAGCGATGCCAGTGCTACCAGGGAAGCTCCCCTACAGAAACAGCATGGAGGAGACTTGGTGTCTTCCTCCAACAATCCTGAGAAGAGAATAGCCAGCACGAGGATCAGAGGGAGAACCCAGAGGTACATTGATTCATCTCTCATGTCTGAAACGTGTTTCCTTAAATCAGTTTCTAGATGGGTTTAAGCAGCTTGCTTGCCACGATCTCCTTGTGGAGGTGCTAGTACTGATGATGCCCCTGTTGATGGGGAGGGGATATTTCTGGATGAAAGTATCCCCTTTCTGGCATCGTGAATG